CTAGTTAAGGAAATTTACCCGAATTAATGAGGGGTATTTTGGTCTTTTCCTTACCCCATCAGCTTTTTAAAAAATAGTAATATTTTAGAGGTATAAAATAATTTGGATCAGTTTTACAACTCTAAGTTACTCTTAGGGTTTTGAGAGGATTTAAAAAGGAGAGGTTCAAGGCGTTCATCAAGATTCTTGAGATTTGTCGAGGAATTTCGCCAAATTAAGGTACGTAGGTTTTCATAGTATTGGTTTCACTCACCCACATGACAATCATGCAAATTTCATTCTAGAGGTTGAATGATTTGAATTCTTGATGGATGTTTTTGAGGTTTTGTTCTTCATGCTTTGATTATGGAGTTTGATGAATTCTTGAGGTGAGGATTTCAATCTTTGAGGGTTGCTCTTGAGAAAAAGAGAGTACATTCTCATGTACTTGTGTTTGCTAATTGAATCTAATAAAAATTTGAGGAAATCAATCGATTCTAGGCAAATTAGAAAATGAGAAGAAAAAATTGTCGAGTCGTTCTGGGGGAGGGGTAGGGCGACGTGCCATAGATGCACCAGGGGGGATGGTGTCCCGCTCTTGTAGTGCACCAAAATGATCCCTTTAAAGTTCAAGGTCTGGCGCCCCACGCCAGCAGTGCGCCAGGGTTGCCTGCCCCCACTCCTTTTCCGTCATTTGCTCTGTCTAAGTTCTTTTAAAGCGTACCTTAACTTCTTTCAATTTCTAACTAATCTATAATACATCTAAACATCAAGATATCCTTCATAACATGAATCATAACCCTTGAATTCATAATTCATAATTCAAATTCATGGTAGAGTTAAGAGTAAAGTCTTCAAAGTTCTTTAGAGTCATTCTGAGAATTCGTGTACAATCTTATAAAACTTAAGACTTGATTATAAGGATAAGGAGAGTTGAGTTTTCATTTTTTAAAATGAATATATGGGAACTAAATATTACCAAGAGTAAATGTTTTTACATTTAAAATGAGAGGAAACATCGATTTCTAAATGAGTTCATGAGGAGTTTTTGAGTATAGTCTCTTTTAAGAGAATGTTTTGAGTAATAGTCTCAAACTTTGAGGAGGAGGAAATACTTTTAAACATATGAGCTGAGTTATATTATTGGGAGTAGTATTGAGCACCGATATGGCGACGAGTTTAGACAACTCAAAGTCCTCATAATCCATGCAGCCAATGTGGGTAGAAAGGGTCATACTTTTTGGATGATTTCTTATTGCTTTTTAAGCACAGCTTAGTGGATCCACTTAGTTGAGGATGTCTTATACTCCGGCAAGGTATTGGAAAGTTCTAGCAGCGTGGGTGAGACGTTGTACCATCACATAGGTCATATTGATAATAGTTGTGGGTTAGAGAATCTCCCAAATAAGAGTTCTAATTGTATTTGTAAATACATTGAGTTGTTATCTACTATTTAAATGATTTATATAAATTGCATCTTTATTGTTGTTTTTATACTCTATTGAGTTGAGTATCCATGAGTTGAAGTGAGTATGTTTCCTTCTTTCCAAGTTCAAGCTTTTATGTTATGTTCAGTGTTCCTCTTACATGCTCGTAGATTCAATGTACTGATGCCATTTGGCTTGTATCATTTCATGATGCAAATACAGGAGATTAGGGTCATCAACAGACAGTTCGTTGATACCACAATAGTTTGAGTTAGCTTTGGTGAGCCTTCTTCCTTCCGGAGGATTCAAGTTACTTTTTCAGTTTTGATAGGATGTTGTGGGTCTTGTCCCGACTTCCATATTTGTCATTTAGAGGCTTCATAGATAGACAATGGAGTTTGAGAATTATGTTTCGTTTTCTTTTATTAAATTTTTTAAAGACTTGAGTTGCCTATTTTTGGCTAGTTGAATATTTTATTATATTCTGAGTTAATGATTTGATACTTTTGAGTTAAAGTTTTACATTTGAGTTCATCTTGTATTGAGTACGTCTTCCGCTGAGAGTTGAGCCAGGCCAAGGACTCGCTTGGGGCCAGAAATGGTTCTCGAGTGTCGGCCACGTCCAGGGTGTAGGCTCGGGGCATGATGATTATTGTGCGAAGTTTACCTTTAACCGACATAGACCATGTGAACTATAACATGGAATTCAATGTCTATCCCTTATTGAAAAGTGATGTCCTTACTTGCCAAGGTAAGAACCATAAAACTTGAGCTGAACTGGATCCACAAGCTAATCTCTATCTAAGACAACCTATGGTGGCACATAGTTATGTGATAGGTTGATCGCTATTAGAAACCCGACCTTATCTCGATGCTAAGTATAAATCCCACGGAATAGTCATTAATCATATTTTGTCAACTACTTTATGTTTCCTCTTTAGTCGATTATCAGTACATATACATGAGGAGTTCATATCCCTATCGAATAATTCATTGTTTGTGTTAATCTTAGCCAATAATGTCTCCACCATTTTCGAATGAGTCTCAATTTTCTCTAAATGGTTCCTCAACCATGCCTAACCTTTTCCTCAACATGCGCTCAGAGGCATTTCCAAGAGTTCAAGAAAATGGGCGCACAATACTAGCTATCGTGATGTTTAATGCTATAAAATTCTGCCAAAAAATTGACTTTGACAAGTAAACTATAATTAATATAAGAGAAAATGGTCAAATGCCCCCTCATTCTATTGTCTGATTCTCAACTACACACCAATACTTTATGGGGGTCCTATTACCCCCCTTGAAGTATTTAAATAGATAAACAAGTCAACATTAATTTATTTGACAACTGTCAGTTCATAATTAGATACTAGAATAATTAATAAATTTAATCAACTAAAATCACACACACTCTCGCACATCTCTAACCATCCCCTCTTTTACAAATCTCTTCAACTCGACTTGTTCCCATGGCTATCAATACAAGAATTTTATCTTTTCATACTTTCATTTTTAATTCACACAATACTTTTCAGTAGCAATACCTTTTAAACCTTCCTCTAATTTTAGACAGAACAATAAAAGAAAGAAAAAAGACCACTTCAAATCCTTCACCTTGATAGAGACTACTTTTAGCTCGACCGCAAAAGATAAAATTGCAGCTTCCATCGGAGACATCTTTTCATTTATAGTAGCAACCAAAGTTTCTTAACTGCAATTGAAAATGGGTATTAAACTTTGAGATTTCTCAAGAAAAAATTCATCTTCAAATTCATCAAGAAGTGCAATTGAGAACCAATAGGAAAAGAACTATCTTCAAAGATAACGATGAACGCAAATTTAACAATAACAATTGAGTTTTGTGCAAATAGATGTATGGCAAAACATTTTTCAAAAAAAAAATGGGCAAAGGTTGGTGGTATAGTGTGGTGTGGTGGAGATGAAGGTGGACTGAAGGAGATGAGTCATCCAGAAACAACGAAGAAAAAATAAAAAGAAGATTTAGGAAGAGGAAGAATGACGATGAGATTTGGTAATAGTGATTAGGGCAAGAATGGTAGAGAAAATTGATATTTTTTTTATTCTAAGAAAAATTGGCACGTGTATTACACTAGCCAACAAAGATTTGAGGGTGACGTTTTAAGGGTGTTAATATCTTAGTTAACTATATTTCAAGAGGGTAATACGACCCCCCGTAAAGTATTGGTGTGTAGTTGAGAATTGTGTAATAGATTGAGGGGGCATTTGGCCATTTTCTCTTAATATATATTATTATAACAAAAGAAAAATCAGCTTATAATGGTTCTTAACGAATTTTATATTTGAAAACGATTAAAATATCATCATTATTTAAGGAAACACACTTTACGAATCAGAGAAATAAATTGAAGAAAATACTAAAAAGAGAGGCCATAAATTTTTTTGAGGAAAAATGTGACTTTTGTTTGTAGTGCTGCTAAAGATTCAAACAAAGAAAATATTTGAGACGGATATTTCAAATTTTAGTCTGGTTCCCACATCAAATTTAAGTAATTTATTAGAATAATTGCAGTGCTTTCTATATAATCTAGGAAAGGATGCATAAGTTGGTACACAAGTACTTTACATAATCTAGGGAGGAGTGCATAGGTTCAAGAGCACTTTACATAACCATTCATGTTCTCAATGCTCATCAAGTTTTGTGCCAGAACTCAATCTATCAATACCAAACGTACCAAAACCATTCCATAGTTAACACAATCCATCATAACTACCATCTAATCAATCAAACGTAGAAGCCTATCAAACTCAGAAGCAATATCTCTCCCACATGAATCCAACATAGGCAACTGACGTGCATATGTATCCTGTTCCTGCGAAGGATTTAACGTGCAAGATATGATTAGTAACTTACGAGTAAATTGCGAGAGATCATTATCTTTACACACAAAATCATAGAAATAAATAAAGGAAATCAACAATAACATCGCCATGTAATTCAACAAGTGGGATCTAGGGAGGGTATGATGTAAGCAAACGTTACCGTAGATAGGTTGTTTCCGATAGACCCTCGGCTCAAAAGAAATGTAACCAACACAAGAAAATAAGATAGAAAACGAGAGAACGTAGTAGCAATGTAAGAAACAAGTGTAGCAACAAATATTAATATACCGAGGAGAAAAAGATACTTCGAGCTACCTAAATCATTCTACTAGAAGTACGACAACATTCGACTTTCTACTAACCTTCTACTCAAATCTTTGACCTCCATACATTCCTATTTAAACACATGAGATCTTAGAAAAAAGTAGAAGTAACACGAGTGATCAGTCATAACTTAAGAGATTTAAACTGGGAAAATAATCACAAGTCCCGAAGTTATCAACCCCCCCCTGCAAGAAAAAAAAATTCTACTTGAAATGTAGATGCATGTTAACACAAGAGGAAAACAACTTCAACAAGGTGAAGATAGTTGAATTATCCAAACAAGTTTGGACTGCATACCTGACTTGTCTGGATGGAAGGCTGAGGAAGTTGCCAGTGCAATGGAGAAGAAGTAGGCTTGTGCAAATTTTTGCAACTTTGAAAGAAACTTATGTGCTTCTCAACCAAAAGTAGTCTCTCTTTGTGAACAAGATTAATATCATGTCTTTTATGCCGCAAGAAAAGCATAATGCGTTCCAACGTCATCTTGAGATTTTCAATTCTCTCATTTGGAAGACTCTGATTAAGAGAGTCATGCATAATATCAAAAGAAAAAAAAAGAATCAGTTTAGTGAGTCTTGTTTCTTGGCCTTTGCAAACCTTTGAACTTCATGCTTCAAGAACTTCCCACGGCAACCAAAAAGGGAGGAAAGTTTAAGAAATGACATAAAGAGAAAAATAACATAGCTCGCAAGGTTCACACAATTCAACATAATGTCGACTCAAGTGCTTTTAAATTTAGATAAATCAAGCGCTTGCCCGAAGAACTAGGGAAGCCTTAATTCCTTTACTGAAAGCAAAACAAATAACCGTAAAATGACTTATGAAAATAACTCTTTTATGATGTCCACTACCGGCCACCTTGACTTTCACAATGCTTCAACAGAAACAAATGATGCAACTGCTAGAAATGAAAAGGAATTAGCCGCATTACAACATATTCCCACTATGAGAACACTTTTTCTCAAGATGACAATCAACAGAATAGGAACCAAAGAAGCAAAAACGAGAATTAAATGTTTTGAGCTTTCAACATCAGTTCCAATAAGGCAATAACCAATAGCATACAATATGAATTACACCTTGGTGCATGCTATATGCAAATGATGGTGTGTCATTTTATGGAACATGCAAGGGAGCCAACCAAAATTTGGAACTATTATGAAGAACTTAGAGGGATGTTGATGACATACCTGCTGCACTTTATAAGCAATTTTCTCGTATAAATCATTGAGGTCTGATAAATACATCTCCTTCATAGACTTGATCTGGATTACAAATTTTCAATAAGTCAATTGCGGAAATGTCAAGAATGCATTCCCATATGGTTAGGTGCTAATACTGATTAACATGTAAATGGTAAACTAAGTTACTGAACTTTGCTTCCTTTAGCTTCTTGGTGCTCAATTCAAGAATACAACTTCCTCAATGCGATCATAGACCAGTTCAACTAGGAGGAATTAGAATATACTTTTTAAAGTTAGGTTGCAAGATATAACACAGTTTAATGGCAATCATTTTTTTTCCACTTTACACCTTTATCATCAATGAGGTAAAACGAGGGCAAACAATGAAAGAATAACAATGTTGTTGGCTTCACAAGTGAAAAACGATGGGATGGAGAATACAAAGCATGTTAGTGTTATATGTTTATTCTTGGAAAGTCGGAGTATTCCAACTTATTACTAGCTAGTAAACCAAGTCGGGAATGTAAGTAGAGAAGGACATGTTTCGAAGACGGAAGGATTGAATTTATCTATAATAAGAAATAAAAAAATAGAAAAAGTATACCAATTAATACAGATGAACGGATGTCTTTTCACAGAGAACATCTTATAGCCATATATTCAGGTATATACTTCTTGCATGAATAGGTTTATCCCTCAAATTAGCAATTAAAGATTTTAGTTGCCTGAAAGAAAATTGGTGACATGCCATGAAGAACTTTTACCCCAACTTACAGAAATATTATGTATCTCATGAATTAAGTTAACATGATCGCAGTACTCAACAACTAATTTTTCTCTAATCAATTGATTTATCAAAATATACTTCATTTCTAAATTATGGCAGGGCATGCAAAATTAATTTTTCGTCGTTGGCAATATGGGACCAAGACAGGCTTTACAGAGTACCATCACAGTGAGGATTAATAATGTTCGTTTCTAAAAAGTTACCTGTTAACATGATTAGAAATCTATTACCTCTAAGAAACGGAATACATAAAGCACCTTGAGTGGAGGGGTATGGTCATGAATTTAGTTGTACACTTGGTATGGTAAACCTCGTCTATTACTCTATAATCATAGGAAATATTTCGAAACATTCAGCTATTTCTTATAGTGTTATAACCATCCAGTTTATCAAACCATACCTTTTCGTAAAGATCTTCCTGCCAATCAGCTCCATTTACATTTTCCGTCTGAACTGTAAAATGTACAGGTGCTGTAAGTAAAGAAAAAATTGATGACAATGTTACATATTTCAGGCATATTACCTCCCACTAACAATATGTACTAGGTAAGTCTGTCCACTAAGCCTATGAAAGATGGGGAAAGATGGGGAAAGATGGGGAAAATCACCTAATATTTTTTTTTGTCTCTGCTGGGATTCAAACATGAGATCTCATGGTTCTCAACAAATTCATTGACCAATACACAACACTCTTCCGTCCACATGTACTTGTCTTAAGAGGTTAAGTTTTCACTTTTATGAATATTTGGTAATATATTAATATTTCTATCTTTTAATCTACACTATTATAAAAGTATGAACCTCCGACACAAAAATTGATTACCATTAATAAATGCACTTCTGTTGGATAATATTGTTATTACAATTAATTTTTACACTTCTTTTGAGCCAAGAGTGTATGTTCAAGTAAGATGTGCCTCTCTTACACTAAGAGCTCGAAAGAGACCTCACTAGTAGGATTACACTAAGACATACGAGGGATCTGAGACAACTAATCGAGATTATAGTGTTATTTTTATTGGATAACAATTCTGGGAGGATAATTAATTCGGGAAATGTAATGATCTTACATAGTATAGCTTAATTCGAAGCTGAATCAAGGAAGGAGGGTAACTACTTGGCAAATAAACGACGAAGATTAAATCTCAATTATTTGGGCAAAGAGTCAGCATCTCGCCACGTTATTTGAAGGTTGTTATTATAAACAGCATAAGGGGAGAGAATGCAACAATAAACTTCAGGTAAATCAAATCCTCCCATATTTCTTTTCTCTCTTCCCTTCTATTCTCTTCTTCTTTAATTCTGATCTTCTCCTCTGCAGATTCGACATGGATACCCACTCATTCCAACTATCTTAAATTTAATTAGTATTCGATTTCGTTGTCTTAGACATCCATTTTTTCAGTTTATAAATCAGAGAAAATGGTCCCCAAAAAACTAAGTGGGTTTACTTTTGAAAATTGCAACTTACAGTCAGATCCTAATTGGGATCCTGAAAGGATAACTTGTTCATACCAAAACCCACACGTTCTACCTCCGGGTTCGCATAAACTAAACCCTGCTCCAGTGTGATAGCCCACAAACAACACATGAAATTTTCAAATCCTACATTCCCAATGGAAGATCCTCTTCAATTCTACGAATATCTAGTAATACTAATAGTGTAAAATCAATAACAAAAGAAAAGCAAAAAAGATAAGTACAGGTAACAATCAGAATAAAAAGAAGAAATTTCACTACCTGGAGTATTATTATCAATGTTCATCTCTATTCTGATCAATCTTTTGACCCTCTAACTTGAACCCTAGTATATATAAGGAGTTAATTTTTTGTATAGTTTATCAAGTACTATTTCTGTCCAATCTATGAGTTACTTTCCTTTTTGGTCAGTCCAAAAAAAGAATAAATATTTTTATATTAAGTAATAATTTAATTTTAAAATGTCCATTTTATACTTCATGAAATGTGTTATAGCCACATAAATATCTATCACTTATTTTAGATCATTAGTTTCAAAATTCTTTTTTTTTCCTTAAACTTTGTAACTAGTCAAACTAACTCATATGAAATAGGACAGAGGGAGTAGTAATATTTTTTATCAACTTTGGTTTTTGTAAAACTATGGTCACTCAAGTAATGATAATATTCTTCAAAAAATATATTATTTTATTTTATATTAAAAAGTCAGTCAATTTTATTTTGTGACATAAATGTCACTCAACTAATGATAATTATTTCAACAAGTTGTTCAACTCTATTATATAATAGAAAAATCACTTAATTATGCTATTAGCTCGAAAAAGGTCCAGATCAACCCATGAAGGTAAGAAAGAAAGAAGAAAATAACTAAATCTAATGTTATTGATTTATCGCATAAGGAATTACTTCCTCCAAGGAATCATTAGTATCTTCTATTCAAAATCATTAAAATCAAATATATGAGACGCATCAACCGATACTGTCACAACTAATTTAAGTTCTAGTCTAGTAACTAGAATTATTGATTCAATTACCATTCCTTTATCTTTTGTTAGAAGACCCTAGTGTTTTTATTTTTATTACCATGCTTTTATCCAAAGGTGATAATCTATCAATGAATTTAATTTGTACAATGACTGTTGGTGGATGTATGACTATGATCCGCAGTGAATCATACTTCAATATAAATGATTGATGGGTAACGTTCTTAACCATGAGAGGGCTCCACTAGAAATGTCAGGTGTATGACCATATATGAAATTAGCATATAATACTGAATTTAGGACTTCATTTTAAAAGCACAAATTTTGAAAGAAAAGACAAATAATTGTTTTCAAAAGGTTTCTCCATTATTAAATTTTATTTAAAATACACCTCAATGTCATCTATTACTGTATATTGTTTGTATTTCATTATTCGTCTTCTATCTGGTAGATCTGTTGAAGAATATCCATGGACGGGGAAGAGATGCTCTCAAAGATGCACGAAACAGAGATTTGAAAAAGTGAGAAGGAGAAAAACAATTTTATTGTACGAAATGTTTATGTAAAAAACTGTAGTATTTTTGTGGGTATTTCTCACTACCTTTCTCTTTATTTGTGTTGATGTCATATTTTGTGATGGCTATGTTTGAATTTGTAACAAATATTTAGCTTTAGTCCAATATTAAGAGAAAAGAAATTCATACAATAATTAAATCTGAAAGATTAATTTTAATTATTTAATTATCATTATTATTATTATTATTATTAATTTTATTTTATTTCAGATATGGAAGCATTAGTTGGTGTAAATGCTACCCACGTTTTTGCATGATTTCGATATTTCTTTGGTTATAATTATATTTGTCATTTTTGAGGTGGTTCACCATTTTCTCTTTCTTTTTTACCGTGTTTGTTGGTAATAGCGTTCATTAGATATTTTATCCCACAATGTAGGATTCATATTTCTCTTATTTGAAGACATTCTTT